CGGGGCTCGGTGCCCGAGGGCCCCTTCCCGGGCCCCCTGGGGGACGTCAGCGGCACGGGGACCCTGTCCCACAGCTACCGCTATGAGGTGTGTCTGATGGGAGGTTCTTCTGGGGCCAGCGATTTCAATTTGTTAAAACCTATTGTTCCCAACCTTCTACCCCAGACCACAGGGAGAGAAGTGGAAGAAAATTCCTCTTTTCGGAATAGTTTCGATTTTTAATAGAGAATGAAAATATAATTCTTTCGTTTGTGTATATATTCCTACTTAGAAGCGTATATTAGATTGGTGTAATGAATTTTATTTTTAACAAAAAAGTTCTAAAGTCAAAGAATAAATTTCTTTGCATAAAAGAGAATCCAGCCCGCCCCCCCCCCCCCGCAGGATTGAAACCAAGGCCTCTGGGTCTGGAAGGCAAGGGTTGCACCACTGACTTGCATTCCAGCCTATTCTGATTCCAGACAGGGTCTAAGATGTGCAGTCTGTGCTCAAACTTACAATCTTCCTCTCAACCTCCGCAGGATCTGGTGTTGCAAGCATTCACCACCTTGCCCCACAATTATCCACTCTCATTCCCAAGAACCCTCCACAAAACATGAAATGTATATGCGTCATGTTTTATTTCAAACAAATATGCTTAAAGTGCAATCTACTAAATGATAACACTTTTTTTTTTTGGTACCGGGGATCAAACTCAGGACCTTGCCCTTTCGAGGCAGGCAGCAGAACCACTGAGCTAAATCCCAGGCCCCATACACACTTTTAATCTAAGAAGAATCCTATGATGAGAGGCATTTAAGAAATGAGCAAATAGATGTTCATAGAAGCTCATAAAGTTCACGAACTAGTGGATGACAGAGCAGTGTCTCGGCTAATTTTGTCTGATTTTGTATCTGTAAACTTGCACCAATGCTCCGTTCTTTTCTGTCATTAATTATCACAGGCAAGTTATTACCTAAAAAAGAAGAAATCTATCATATTCCTCATTTTCTTTTATATTTAGAAATAATGTTCCTATTAGTCTATAGTTTTATTTTCTCATAAACCAACAACCCTGCTTTTATGGGTTAATTATTCATCTACTATTATTAAAGGGCTGGTCTAACCAAATCTGGATTTTTTTTTAAAGTGAAAGGTCAACCTGTACTGTTTCCTTCTGTCCTGAACATGAGACTTTCATCTAACAGAAAAGATTAATGGTTGTTTATAGGAATATCACATAATTATGACTATTTTATTAGTTCATTATTCTCAACACTGCTAAATTTTTCTGCAGCCATCCACAGCTACATTGGTAACACATTTTTCTGCTTAATAGGGTTTATTTTTAATTTCCTGCTCAGTATACTGCACTGCTGAATCAGAAAAATTTAAGAAAAGGAATGCTTTTAAGTGTGTCATATCATAGAGAAATATGTTCTTAAAAGTTAGAAATTCTGGAGAGTTTAAGAAGCTTTATTTATTTTGATAATATGTAACTGCCTGTTCTTTAAAGATCATCGTGGTTGAAGTTGTAGTAGTTCAGTGGTAGAGTGCTTGCCAAGCATGCCTGACATTCTAGGTTCAATCCCAAGCACTAAAAAATGTATTCAGATATTTTTGTATGTATGTGTTTTGCAAACATTATAAACTAGGGCCAATAACTCCAAAAAAATAGCATTGTTGTACATCACTAGTGGGACATAGTCTAAGGACAAAAAAAATCTCACAGAAGTAAGGTTTTCATAGAATGAGGATAAAATTATCCAGTTTCCCCAATAAATAAATGAAAATAAATAAAATGAAAAAGGGAAAAGGAATGTTTATACAGTGAAAAGACTTGAGATCTACCAAAAATCCAATTTGTGGGGGATCTTGTGTGGATCTTGATTCAAACAACATGATTTTCAAACTATTTGAGAATTTGAATATAGATGATATTAAATAACATTAAATTAATTAGCCAATTTCTTAGGCATGATAATGACATTGTAGTTAAGGTTTTCACAAAAGCATTAAGGAAATGCATAATAAAATATTTGTGAGTGAAAATTCACTTTTCTTAAGATGTGAAAATATTAGAAGGATAAAGAATTATGGTCAAATCATAATTGTCAAAACTAGTGATGACTACATGAAGGTTCATATATTACTCTTTTTATGAGGTTTAAAATTTTTCAAAACTAAAAGCTTTTAGAAATTGATCCTGTGAGGCGTTAAATTTTTTAAAAATATATCTTCCCAAAATACATGATCACCACTGATGTCACATGTTTATATCTCTATTTAAGCAAACTCTCCAGCCTTTCTGTTAGTCATCTTCACCATTTGACATGATAACTTCTATAGAAATATTCCTGTTCATCCATTCTTCTACTGTGTGAATACTGAGGTATTTTTTCTATTCATAGCAATGGATTCATGAAGACTTGGTTACTTGGTTACTTAGTTGGCATGTATAGTTTATTTATGAGGTTAATTTCTCTCTGCATCAGTTTTCTGTCCTGTAAGGTGGGGGATTCACAACAGTTCTATGTTGTATGTATTATTATCCTCTCCTTACAGATGAAGACACTAAGGCAAAGAGGTTAAATAATTTGTGCAAGGTTCAAAGTTAGTAATTATTTCTGTGGTTAATGGCAGCAATGTCATTCCTCTTGTTTAGCTTTCAGACAACTGTCTTCCCAGTAAAGGTTAGCGACCATACAAGTGGTGTTATAACCTTAACACAGCCAAGTTGTACATACTATACAGGAACTGTTAGGAATATTACATCAATTTTCATCCCAAAATATGTGAGATCCTGTGAAGACGCATGGTGGCGCTGCAGGATAAGAAGGGACAAGCCAGAACTGCAGCTTCTCCGTTAACTAGAAAATTTACCAGCAAAGCCTGGAAGCCCACAGGAGACTTGGATGCCACAGAGAGGAGGTCTGGGTCCTCTGAAAAAGGACTCAAAAATTACTGGTATATTTATCAGGTGTCTTGTGGAAAACCTCGGTTTCAGACAGTGGGGACTTCACAGTTCAGAGGGAAACACCTCATGGAAAGCTGTATCACACAAGAACAATGGAAACTGGTGGGAAGCTCCTTTGCAGACAAAGGCAAGTCTTTTTTTCCTTTTTCCTACTGGGTTTATCTCTGGTGGGAGCAGTGGAACTCAGGAGGTATTCTGTGGTGGAGGAAGGGGAAGGCAACTCCTTTGTAACCAATTTAGCAAAGGACCTGGGTCTGGAGCAGAAGGAACTGTCCAGGAGGGGAGCTAAGGTCATTTCCAAAGGGAATAAAATGCATTTGCAGCTCAATCAAGAGACCGGAGATTTGCTGGTAAATGAGAAGCTGGACCGAGAGGAACTGTGTGGGCACACAGAGCCCTGTGTGCTACGTTTCCAAGTGTTGCTGGAGAGTCCTTTAGAATTTTTCCAAGCTGAGCTACAAGTAATAGACATAAATGACCACTCTCCTGAGTTCCTGGACAGAGAAGCTTTGCTTAAGATATCAGAAAGCAGTGCTCCTGGGACTACATTTCCACTGAAGAAGGCTCAGGACATGGATGTTGGACCAAATAATATAGAGAACTATGTAATCAGTCCCAACATCTATTTTCGGGTCCTCACCCGAAAAGGCAGTGATGGTAAGAAATATCCTGAACTCGTGCAGGACAAAGCTCTGGATCGAGAGGAGGAAGCTGAGCTCAGGTTAACTCTCATAGCCCAGGATGGCGGCTCTCCACCCCGGTCTGGCACTACTCAGGTCCACATAGAAGTGGCGGACACAAATGACAATGCCCCTGAATTTGAACAGCCTCTCTATAGGGTGCAGATCCCTGAAGACAGTCCCATAGGCTTCCTGGTTGTTGCGGTCTCTGCTACAGATGTAGACCTAGGAGTCAATGGAGAGATCTCCTATTCACTCTTCCAGGCTTCAGAGGACATTAGTAAAACATTTGAGATCAATCACTTGACCGGAGAAATTCGACTGATGGACCAACTTGACTTCGAAAGAATAGAGTTCTATGAAATCAATGTAGAAGCTAAAGATTCTGGAAGCTTTGGTGGAAAATGCATCGTTCTAATCCAAGTCTTGGATGTGAATGACCATGCCCCTGAGGTTACTATGTCTACACTTACCAAATCCATCCCTGAAAACTCCCATGAGACAGTGGTTGCAGTTTTCAGTGTTTCAGATCTTGACTCAGGAGAAAATGGAAAAATAAATTGCTTCATTCAGGACGAGCATCTACCCTTCTTACTGAAGTCTTCAGTGGAAAATTTTTACACACTACTAACAGATGGACCACTGGACAGAGAGAGGAAGTCAGAATACAAAATCACCATCACGGTCACCGACTTGGGGACACCCAGGCTCAAAACCCAGCACAACATAACCGTGCAGGTCTCTGACGTCAACGACAACGCCCCGACCTTCACCCAAACCTCCTACACCCTGTGGGTCCCCGAGAACAACAGCCCCGCCCTGCACATCGGCACCATCAG